ACGACTGTGTATCGCTGCATATATGCTGAGCAGAAGACAACATGATTAATAATACCGTACCTGATAGGAACTTTCCATCATGCTTGATCTGTGCGCCTTGCTGCAGTGCGGCTTGCTGGGCCAGCGCCTGGGTGTACTGCCGTAGGCAGCCGATATTGCTGCCAACGACAAGCAAATCACTTCATCAGTAACGCAGACACAGTGCGAAGCAGCCATTCTCCTCGAGGAAAGTCAATAGATAAAGAATTCTGCGCAGCGCACTCTGACGTCGCTAGCAGCAACGTTAGATCGCATTGCGTTTATAAAGAGCTGTCTATGAGGGGAGCACGTGCGCTCGCAGCGACGCTGATAGTCACCCGACATTTACCATTAGCGATGATGATCACTGAAAGTTGATTCTACGATCGCAGACGCGTCCTCGGGTAAAGTGTAATGGCATATTGCAATAGTCCTATGATCCACTCAAGAAGCGATATTCGACTTTCTATGTCAAATGCTACTGTGGAAACCATGCAACGCACAGCAATAACCCTTAGTACGCTTAGCAACATGCGTAATTCGATTTAAACTGATTATCTCTGCTCACCAGCGAATTGCTGTATGCACTGAGCTATACGTGTGTTGAGCATAAGGACGCCACTGCAGTGCAGTTTCAACAATCGGCTCCTTGAGCTGCTTAAGTATAGCCTAGTTAGCGACTGAATTTACTTACTTGCTCGTCGATTTGCTTATTCTGATTTCCGAAATAACAGCAAACGGCGGCATGTTCGGCACATTTAAAATTCGCAGTACGAATTGCGACTCTTACCAATATCTTTACCGCAATAGTTAACACGAGCAGGCTTACTTTTAGGTTAGATTTTTTAGCCATTGACCTATAACGCGTTATGGGGAGCTGTCACGCAGCAGTTATAATTATTTGAGTCTACACATTACCAGCATACTGTGCCAGGGATTGCCATTTAGTGTAGATCTTCGCTTTGCGCTGGTAGCCCGTTGGCTTGAGCAGTTTGAGCCAAGCAACAGCTGCGTCCCTGTATGAGGGCATGTTCTGGATCGAGAACATTGACCTGCTGTGCCGCTGTATATGTCACAATAACACAAGTCTTTCAATACGGCAGCCGCTGATTTATCATATCCGTGAGCCTTATCTCTAACTTCCTCGTTTACAACATTTAATTGTTCTTCTGTGTAATCATGGTTTAAGGAACGCAGGACATTTTCGCTGCGTTTCTGATTTAAGTATCTGCGTCTAGACCTGTAGCTATGTTGATTTCCCACAGTTCGTAGGACAGTGCCAGCTTAAGAGTGCTAGTCTGTGTTTTTTGTTTAGTTTATCACTGCGAAATGACACATCATCAGACACGTTATGCTATGTTTATTAAGACATCTTATAATTACCTAATATTGATTCATATAACCTACTACATTTTATATGACACAGCCACATCTGATATATATAATAAATAAATTAATAAATATATTATATATTATATATATAATATTATATATATATATATATATATATAATATATGATATGCGTGCGTGCCGTGCGTCCGTGAAACGTGGCGTTCGTGTGTGCTCGTGTGTGTGTGTGGCAGTGTGTGTGTGGGTACGCTGCGTTCGCGTGCGTTCGTGCTGAACCCTCGTGGCCGTTCGGCGTGTGTAGTGTTAATTATCTGGGTGAGCAGGTGCGCTAGTCGTTGTTATGGTTACCAGAGGTTGGAATGGAGGAGCTAGTGATTCCGTTCAGCACTCCAGCTTGCTGCATCTGAGCCGCTGCTAGGGCCGTCATCGGGTTCATGTAGGCGCCTTGTGCTGCCGCCACGAGCGCCGCTTGCTGCTGCATCATCTATCACAGAAACAACCAGGAATATCTTACGATTGCTGCAGTTTAATATCACTCTATGTACCTAATAGTACACGTTCACACACTGGGTTGGATCATAGCATTCGCGTGAAGCTAATGCCTTGCTACAAAGTGTATAGCAACGCTGCGCTACTGTTAGGCCGCATGTGCTTCCATTTCACTCATTTATAAGTAGGAACTATACCTACAGTTTAGGTATAATATATACACCTCCTGCTGTGGAATCAGTATCGATATTTATAATATAAAAGTATCTAGTTTAGAGTAGCGGTTGGCCATGACAAGCTCAGTGATCATAATCTACTGCAGTAAACTGACAAC